CCACATTGGCCACATTTTCTGTACCCAGTCTATCACTGATGAGCATTTAGGTTGACACCATGTCTTTGCTATTGTGAATGGTGCTGCAGTGAAAATGCACGTACATATAAGTTTAGTCACTGTGGAAGACACGTGGCAATTCCTCAAAGACCTAGAACCAGAAATACCATTCGACCCAGCGATCCCATTACTGGGTATACACCCAAAGGAATAGAAATCATTCTATAATAAACATGGCAATTTCCACGAAAATCTCTGCTTGGATTTTCACTGAAATTGCACTGAATGTACCATTTAGAGAAAAATCGTCTTTACGACACTGAGGCTTCCACTCACAGACGGGCTACATCCTCCTTTTCTTTTAGGTTTTCTTCACTTTTCTTCATAATATCTTCCAGCTTTCTGTCCCAGACATCTTGTTAGATTTGTTTCCACATAGTTTAAGTTTCTCAGTGTCTATAATAACATTTGTAAGTGATTATTACTGTTTCTGGAATTTAGAAATATAATCGGTTTTTGTATGTCGGCCTTGTGGGCAGCAATCTTGCAAATTCACTTGCTTTTAATGGTTTGCTTGTTGAGTTCCTTTGGATTTTCTTCACATGTAACCATATCACCTGCAAATACTGACAGCTTCGTTTCTGGTTTTCAAGATATTCAAGCCTTTTTTTTTTTTTTTTTTTTTTTTGTTTTTTTTTTTTTTTTAATGGCGTTTCGCTCTTGTTTCCCAGGAGGGCAATGGTTCCAATCTTAGCTCACCGCAACCTCCGCCTCCCGGGTTCAATTGATTCTTCTGCCTCAGCCTTCCAAGTAGCTGGGATTCTAGGCATACACCACCATGCCCAGCTCATTTTGTATTTTTAGTAGAGACGGGGTTTCTCCATGTTGGTCACACTGGTCTCAAACTCCCGACCTCAGGGATCCGCCCACCTTGGCCTCCGAAAGCGCTGGGATGACAGGGCTGAGTCACCACCTTCAACCCTTTTAAGCCTCTTTTCTTGCCTTGGTGTGCTGGTGCATCACCGTGAGGGGCAGCCATCTTTGTTAACAACTCAGGGAGCAGCAGGGGGCGGTGGGGGCAGCCCTCCGCTTTCCATCCTTGAGGGGGTTGCTTGTTGTCGATTTCTTATAGATACCTTTGATCAAATGAAGGAAGGTCCTTTCTATTCCTGGTTTGCTAAAGGTTCTTTGAACCCATTTATGCCTGAGGTCACGTACTGCTTGGCAATGACCTCAAGCAGTAGGATATAAAGACCTCCCACATGCCTAGCGTTCCAGTAATGGAACACTAGGCAGAATTCATCATGAATGGGCATTGAATTTTACATATTACTTTTCTGCATTTATTAAAACCATATAGTTTACCTCTTTTGTTAGTGTGATGGATTACATTGACTTTTTATTATACCAACCTTGCATTCCTGAACTCAACTTGGTCATGCTATATCAACACTCAGTATCACTGGATCAGGCTTATACACATTTTGTTTAGGGTTGCTTAGGATGTTCAAGACAGACACTGGCCTAGAACCAGTGTTTTCTTTTTTTTCTGTGAAACATCCTTGTCCGGTTTTGGTGTCAGGGTTACGCTGCCTCATAAAACAAGATGAGAACTGAGAGTCCCGTTTTTATTTTCAGTTATGAGGAAGACTTTAAAAAGAAAGTTATTCTTTCTTAAACATTTGCAAACAGTGAAATGCTGAGCCTGGAGTTTTTCTTTGTGACAAGTTATGGGTAAGATTTCATGAAGATACAATCCCGCACGCTCTGCACATGTACCCCAGAACTTGACAGGTATTTGTTTTTAAAAAAAGGATTTCCTAAACAAGTTTTTTCCTAGTAATCTGTCAATTGCATCTAACGTTTCCGACGAACATGACATTCTTCAGACAGCCTCAAGTCTTTATGTCTGAAGGGTTCACAAGTTCTGACATTGTCATTTGTGCCAGCTCTCTCGTATGTGACTAGTGTACCAGGGCTGTAAACGTGCACAGTCTTCTCAAAGAACCCACTTGGGTTTTATTGGTTGTATCTACCCTGCGCTCTGTGCCTTGTTTCATTCATTTTTCCTTGTCTTTTAACTTTCTTCTAACACAATTGTAGACATAGTCCCTGAATCCCGATCAATTTTGTCGTTCAATTACAAATACCTTCATGCGTCCAGTTTTCTTTCTTATCTGACCTATGGGTTATTTAAATGTTATTAAATTCCCAAACATTCAGAAATTTTCTACGTTTCTTCTCATTACTTTTTGCCTTAATTACATTTGGTCACAAAACACATTCTGCAAGCCCCATCCTGTGGCACTAAGATGGCTTCATAGTCTGGTGGGTGGCAATTTGGGAAAGAGCATGCTTTCTATGCTGTGTTTCTGACGCATTTGTCATAGTGAATTCGAGGACTTAAAATTGCACAGCTCTTGGCTGGGCGCGGTGGCTCGCACCTGTAATCCCAGCACTTCAGGGGACCAAAGCAGGTGGATCACCTGAGGTCAGGAGTTCGAGACCAGCCTGACCACAACATGGAGAAACCCAGTATCTATGGAAAAATACAAAATTAGCCAGGCATGGTGGCACCTGCCTGTAGTCCCAAGTACTTGGGAGGCTGAGACAGGACAATTGCTCGAACCTGAGAGGTGAAGGTTGCAGTGAGCCGAGATCATGCCATTGCACTCTAGCCTGGGCAACAAGAGCAAAACTCTGTCTCTTTTGTGAAGAGGAAAAGAAAGGAAAGAAAGGAAGGAGGGAGGGAGGGAAGAAGGAACTGCACGCCCCTTCCAGCCTTTTTCTGCAGGGCAATACAAGAGTTTAAAACAATTCACCTCCCTTCTTCCATGTCCCAGGTTACACAGCAATGTTTTCCAGTATTTTGTTTGTAAAGTTTCAATGGAACGATTTATGTATGTTTATTACTCTCTCTGTCCATGGCTCCATCTTGCTTTAGGCACCTCCCCTGGATTCCTAATATTCCTGCTCTTGAAGAAAATTCCTAACAATGCCCTGTAAAGGAGGTGTCATCAGAAATGACATCCTTTTTTTTTTGAGACAGGGTCTCGCCCTGTCACCAGGCTGGACTGCAGTGGCGTGAGCATAGCTCACTGCAGCTCCAACTTCCTGGGCTCAAGTGACACTCTCAAATCCAAGTAGCTGGGACCACAGGTGCGTACCACACCAGCTCATTGTTTTTGTATATTTTCTGTAGAGACGAGGTCTCACTCTATTGCCCAGTCTGGTCTCTAACTCCTGGGCTCAACAATCCTCCCACCTCAGCCTCCCAAAGCGCTGGGATTATAGGCAAGAGCCACCATACCTGGCCTCAGTTCTTGTTTATAAATTTAAGTATCGCCTAATTCTTTATTTTTGTAATTCTGAGATAATTTATATACCAACAAATTCACCCTTTTAGGTGAAGAGTTCAGTGACTTTCAGTGTAGAGCTGTGCACACATCACCACTAATTCCACAACACTTTAATCGCCCAAAAAGAAACCCCGTGCCCATTCACAGCCACTACCCATCCCGCCTCACCCCAATCCCTGGCAACCATGAATCTGTCTCTCTGCAGTTGTCTTTTCTGGGCATTTCACATCAATGGAATCAAACAGTAGGTGATCCTTTGCACACGGCTCACGTGGGGCAGTGGCTCAGGTGGGGCAGTGGCTCACGTGGGGCAGCTCCTCGCGTTATGGCTGGGCTGCAGCTCGCATCAGTGTTCCGGCTTCATGTGACCCAATGACGCCTCATTCTTGGGAGAGTCTGCTGTGTTCTCCCTTCGTGTACTGATGGAAACCTGGGCTGTGTCTACCCCGTGGCTGCTACGAGCCGTGCTGCTGGGTGCATCCAGGCACAAGTGCACGTGCGGCTGCTGTCTTCAGTGCTCTGGAGGGATCCCTACGAATGGAACTGCTGGGTCCGCTGGTAACGTGTCACCAGCATCCTGAACGACAGGTTCACTAAAGACCCAGCCGTGCGCCGAGAGCTCTCTCCTCCGTGCACCAGCGGCTTCCCCGCCACTCAGCACCCAGGGTGCCCACACCTGGTACATGGCTTTCATCCCATCACAGGCATCTGTCCTTTCTCTCTGGCTGCCACCAAAATTGTCTTTGCCCGTGATAATCGCATGTGTCTAGGCAGAGGTTTCTTTTCATTTCTTGCTCCTACTTGGGTTATATAGTCTGCTTCCTGAATGCTTTCAATGCCTCTTCCTTCTGTCTTCTTCATTCCCTCCTTCTGGGATTCCAATCAGATGCGTGTTGATCTGACTGTCCATGCCCCGCCTCCCACTGGCCCTTTCTCACGTTTCTGTCTCCTGGAGAGTGACCAAGCTCCGGTGACCTCTAAGGAGGTGAGCCGGCTCCCTGCGGTGCCCATCCTCAGAGGTGGCCCCACCACGATGAAGACACAGAACCCATGAGCACAGAAGCAGCACATCTGAGGCTGTCACCCACAAGGGGACCCAGCCCAGGATCCTGACGGGGTGAGGCAGGCCGGAGCCACGACCGTCTGGATGGCAGTGCAGAACTCCTCCCAGAGAAAGCATGGAGCAGCCCTGCTGTAAGTCAGTGAACACGGCTCCATGCAGGCCCTTCAGCAGCCCCTGACGTAACTGCCGCCAACAGATGGTGTGGGTGAAGCAGGCTAGGCCCAGCTGGTCACAAGGGATCCAAACTGCCTCTGGCACTTCTCTTTGCAGCTATTTTCTCTGCCTTAAAACAATGTTTAAGTGGGAAGGCCTGCCTCTGTGGCTGCAACTTTCTCTAGGGATCCCAGGACTGTGCCTTCTGGAGTGGGCAGAGGTCTGTGGTTTATGAGAACAGGACGTTCCACAGCTGTGTCCCAAAGCAGGTTTCCCCTGGAGAGCTGCTGCGACATGGAAACGGAACTCAGACTGTTCTGGGGCGGCCACACCTGCTGTGTACACAGCAGGACGGCAGCAGTGTGGCCTGGCAGTCAGCGAGCCCAGACGGCTCATCGTGCAGGAGGAAAAGCGTGAGGCTGCCGTGGTCATAAATACATTTTATTTCATTAGAAATGCATAATTACAGTGTTTGACAGCATTTCCCCTAGAAAAGTAGGTCAGCAATACCCCATCAGAACGAGAACTGGCTTTGCAAACACCTGTCTCTTGACACTCAACAGAGCACACAGCAAAGGGCTCCTGCTACTCCCCTGGGATTTTTTTTTTCAAATTTTGTTTTTTGTTATAAACACCATAGCAAATTAAAAAAAGCTGTTTAAACAGAAAAATATCATAGTCTTGATTTGCCGCACACCGGCGACGCTCTCCGCACTGCGCCTCCCCTCGTCCTCCTACACCAACAGCACGGCTCAGACGAAAGGGGTCTCCGGCTGGGGGCGGGGCTGCCGCTCTTTTCGTGGACAGGATGCTTTTCCCCGCGGAGGCAGCAGCTGTCAGACGCACTTCAGCAGAACACGTGCATTCGCTGCCTGTGCTGAAGCCGTGAGAGCGGGGCGCATGGGGGCCGGGCCATGGGCGGAGCCGACGAGGGGCTCCCAGTGTCGTGGGCACTCCTGGTGCTGTGGGCACCGCTCACTGGATCTGGATGGCCCCGTGCTCCAGCTGCATCTCTGGCTGTAGTGTGGGCTGCAGCGCCTCAGCTGTCTGCAAAAGGGAGAAAGGAGGGGACTTTCTAGAAAAACACCCAGTACTGCATAGCCTCGGGTATCATCAACAGCCAGCGACTTTCAGGCAGAATCAGACACACAGCGACAGGAGCACAAAGGAGCCCTGATGGCCCCAAGGCTCACCCGACTTGGGACAGAACACACCTGGCTCCCAGCGGAACGACGCACACAGACCCTGTGCCCAGGGCAGCTCTGGCACATCCAGGCCCCGCCCCTACCCACGTGGCCGGCTCCTGCTTCTCCATCTACTGCCTCACTGTGAAGTAACCCAGAAGCAGATGACATCCTGCCCTCCCTAAGGCATTTACCTGGAGACTCAGGTGCCATTCTGCCTTTCTATAAACCCTGTTCCCATGCTTCAACAAAGTATTTCTGGAGTAGCTATGTTCCTCGCCTCACACATGTAAGTTCTGGTCAATGAGTTACAGGTATTAAAAGGACTTGAGGTACACAATCACAGCTTTATCGGAGGCTGGGTGCGCTGGTTCATGCGTGTAATCCCAGCACTTTGGGAGGCTGAGGCAGGTGAATCACTTAAGGTCAGGAGTTCAAGACAAGCCTGGTCAATATGGTGAGACCCCATCTCTATAATAAATACAAAAATTAGCCGGGAGTGGTTTTGCACACCTACTAGGGAGGTTGAGGCAGGAAAATCACTTGAACCCAAGAGGCAGAGGTTGCAGTGAGCTGAGATGGTGCCACCATTCTCTAGCGTGGGCGACAAAGCCAGACTCCGTCTCAAAAAACCATAAATAAAAAATAAAGGAAAAATATGTAATGCTGGAATAAGTCACTCATCATGCAGCTGAGCCACACGGAACATGCCCCAAGTGGAAGCAATCAGTCTAGGCCTTCTGTGCACACTCCCAGAAGCCCAGGCTGCAGGGCTGGGCTCAGCGACCACAAAGGAGGAGGAGAAGCCACGAGCCCACAGCCGAGCCCACAGGAGACAGAGGCCCGACAACTCCTATTACGGTTAAGGCGCTGCTTTGTTTTGTTTTAGTTTTTAGGGACAGGGTCTTGCTCGGTTGCCCAGGCTGCAGTGCAGTGGTGCAAGCACAGCTCACAACAGCCTCGATCTCATGGGCCCAAGTGATCCTCCCACCTCAGCCTCCCAAGTAGCTGGGACGACTGGTGCACACTGCCACGCCAGGCTTTTTTTTGTTTGTTTGTCTGTTTTTCCCTGAGACAGAGTCTTGCGCTGTCACCCAGGCTGAAGGGCAGTAGCATGATCTCGGCTCACTGCAACCTTCACCTCCTGGGTTCAAGCAATTCTCTGCCTCAACCTCCCGAGCAGCTGGGATTACAGGTAACTACCACCATGCCCAGCTAATTTTTGTATTTTTAGTAGAGATGGAGTTTCACCATGTTGGTCAAGCTGGTCTCCAATTCCTGACCTCATGTGATCCACCCGCCTCAGCCTCCCAAAGTGCCGGGATTATACTGTGAGCCACCACGCCCAGCCCCAGCTAGTTTTTTTATGTTTTGTAGAGACGGGGGTCTCACTACATTGCCCAGGCTGATCTTGAAGTCCTGGGCTCAAGCAATGCCCCTGCCTCGGCCTCCCAAAGCACTGGGATTACAGGCATGAGCCACTGTGTCCAGATGAGGCTGTGCTTTTTCAAGACAAGTGTCAAATGACACTCGACACAGTATTCCCCAGATGAAGGAGGCGCCTTCTGGGACAGGATGAGGGGCCAGCACAGGGATTGTCTCCCGAGAGCCCGGCCACAGCCGGGAAGGCCTAAGGGGAAAGGCCTCATGGGAAGGGGTGAACCTGAGATGGAAAGGAGGAGCCACGTCAGGGCCCTGGGGTGGGTGGCTTCAGGCCACAGGAGACTGGGATAGGAGGGCCACTGCCTGGGATGCAAAGCCCCTCCCCCTGGACAGCCAGAGAAGCAGCTGGGGGCGCGGGTGCCTGGGGACAGCGGGGCACAGGTCTGGGCTAGCCGAGAGAGACGCACTTGCCATCCAAGGACGGTGGCCAGCCCGTGTTCCAGGCAGAGGCTGGCGGAGGCACTGCCCCTGCTACAGATGGCTCATGGAGCCTGTGACACCACAGGCCACCCCGTATGAAGATGTGTCTTCCCCCACAAATGGCACCCCCTACCCTCCCAACCCACAGCTCCAGGGACAGGCCCACGCTCCACTTTGAGGACTGGCCACCCCACAGGCCAGCCACCTGCCTTCCCTCCTAAGGGAACCCCTTCTTCTCAGAGCCAGGCCCTCACAGCCGAGCCACAGGTTTTCCTAGAATTAGCTCATGTGTGTAGCTCTGCTATGACCAACAAAAGATGTAATGCAATTCCTGAGCACAGCTGGGAGTGGGGGCTTCGTGTGGATGAGACTCAACCAGAAACCCGTCTCTGCTGGGTGCAGTCATGCCTGCAGGGTCGCCATGAAGGCCTGGGGTCACTTCCTAGGAAGGCAGAGCTAGCCTGAGGACAAGCTGAGATGGTAGGAAAGACAGCTGGGCCCTTGGTGACGAGCTAACACAACCTGCAGCCGCCACGCCTCCAACAGGCAAGTCCAGCCACACTGGGGTTTTCTGCGGGAAAAGCAGCGCGGTAAGCAGGTGTATTCCTTAGCCTTTAAGATGGATCCTAATTAGAGCGTTCACGTGGGGCCTGCCAGGCAGGCCACGGTGACAGAGAAAGCTTACAGGAAGCTAGGGGTGTAAAGATCAACCGTGGGACACAGGTTTCTCCAATTCTGAAACCTGGAAAGTGACCAGAAACTCAGAATGCAGCAGGATGCCGAGGCACGGCCCCGCATCTAGATGCCCAGGCTCAGGGTCTCACGCCCTCCCGCAGCACTGTCTGGAATGGCACGAGGGGCCAGCATGCGTCCCTGAGCACGAGCCGAGGCAGGCGGGCCTGGGCTGTCTTCACGGACAGGTCAGGTTCACCCCACAGAAAAGCAGCACTGCCCGACAAGTTCGCTTTGGCCCCCCACCCACCTTGTGTCCACGATCTCCCTTCACATGCTTCCAGCCCATCTCCAGCAGGGTCAGTGACCGTGTGGAACTGAACACAATGCAGACTGCAGGGTGGGCCCACACAGGGGCACCACACCCATGGGCAAAGGGTACAGGGCGGGCCCGTGTGTGTGTGTAGGGGAACTACACCCATGAGCACAGCAAGAAGGCTCAGTAGGAGGAGGGGCCAGGCCTTCTACAGGACACAGGTCCTTAAACTCTAGGCTCGCAGCTGTCCCGTGGAGAGGAAGAAGACATGAGTGTCGGGTGAGCATGGACATCACATGGCCGCCGCAGCTCAGGGGCTGCAGAACTGCCCAGCCTGGCCACCTGGTCGCCCTGGTGAGCGTGGGCTCTACTGAGCCCATTTCTTCAGCAAGCACCTCCTGAGAAGGACCCTCTCCTCCAGAGGGCTGAGGAGCACACCTGCCCTCAGCAGCGCCCAGGGAATGGGAAAGGCTGCTCGGACATCTAGGATTTTCATTCTGAGCATAAAGTGGACGGCATCAAGACCCAGGTGGATCACCAGCTCTGGGGCCACAGAAAGGACAGGAACAGACCCAGAGACAGTGGCCAGAATGTTCCAGAAGGGCTGGGCAGCAGCCATATTAGGCTGGAGGTAGAATAAGGACAAGGCTCTGGCTGGGCACATTCCCAAAGCAGGAGGCGCGGAGGCTCCCGGACACAGGACTGCCTTGTGCCTCACAGCTGTATTCAAGGAGAACAGCAGCCCATGGCGTCACAGGGGCTCTTGTCTGGGCCTCGGCCACGCTGGTGACTTCAGCACAGCCTCTCCCTCGTGAGCTCCGGCTGGCGAGGTCTGGAGATGCTGGCGTGAGCCCGCTGGGCCATCCATAGAGCGCAGCAGCCCTGGGCTTTGCTTCGGGAGATGCTGGGGCACGACAGCCCAAGGCACTACTGGCCCGGCCCCAGGCTGAGACCTTCAACAGGGGCAGGGAGCTCCCAGGCTGACGGGGCCCCGACGCTCCCCAGCCCACAGGACAGGGCAGAGCTTCACTTCTGCTCCTGAATTTACAAACATTTCCACAGGAGAGTCTCAAGCATCAGCTGGAATTTGGAACTGAGGCAGGATCTACCCTCTCTCTTCACATTCATGGTGTGTGTGAGACGAACCCTCGTACGGGCATCCGTGTCCAATCACGCACCTCTCCTGATCATGCGCCCTCCACACAGAAGGAGGCATGAGAAAGCCCCGTGGCCCATCACTACACAGTGTCCCGGTGAGTGGCCCCAGACTCACCTGGGCCCCGGCCGTGTGGTCGCCCACCGGCGCCAGCTGCACGTACTGAACCTGGATGTCGCTGCCCTGGAGTGGCGACCCGTCCACACCCGCCGCCGCAGGATCCGAGGAGGCCACGGCGATCAGCTGGGCACCCTGCAGCACCTGGAGAGACACGGGGCCCTGTCAGCAGCACGGCCCATGACCCACATGGCTCCAGAGACCACAGACCCCAGCCTGCAGGCGCTGTCCCAGGAGTGGCAGGGACACCGAGGACTCTCAGTGCATCCCGTCTCCCCAACACTTTCAGTCGTGCTGGATCCAGTGAGAGAGCGCCATCAAGTCTCTGCTGCACCTGCAAGCTCCCCGCTCGAGCACCCAAAGAGCGGACAAAGGGAAAAAACAGCTAGGCAGAGCTTCCAGAGAGCAAACGCAAACGTCATGGGGCCTCCTAGAAAAATCCTCATGGCAACCACGAAGGGCACAAGCCCTCTCACACTGCCAGTCAGAGCTAAAATCTAAGCCAGGACCATGAGCGTGAGGCTGAGACCCAAACTCTCCCCATTCCTGAGGCTGAGCGGCCTCAAGGGCTTGCGGGAGCAGAGGAGCTGTTGGTGGGCACTGAGAACCCAGGAGAAGCTCACAGGAAAGTGAGGCCCAGCTCCAAGAAGGGCGGAAGTGAGACCTGGTAGCAGAGAGCCCAGCTGGCCCTCCCGACCCTGCGCTACCTCCCAGTGTGTGGGACGAGAATGGGGGACGGGTGAGGCCCCTGGGTGGGCTCTGGTGACCCCATCACTTGTGAGCACCCAGGTCCATTTCCCACCCAATCCGCCAGGCGCTCCAACAGCCAGGCGGGCAGCCCCAGGACTGGGATGGCCCAGGCAGCAGGTGGGCGGCCCCATCTCTGAGGGCACTGGACATGGGCCACGGGCTCTTCACTTTGGGGGTTGCGTCCCACCCTGGAGAGCCAGGAGGTCCACCTGCACCTTCCACACAGAACCTCACGCTGTGCAGAGTCTCACACAATGACCCTGGGGAGAGCTACAGCCCCTGTTGCAGTGCGCCCCACCCCACAGAGCCTGGCCGCAGCCGCCCTCCAACGGGACCCGCCCTGGACACCAAGCCACACACAGCGCCAGCACGGGCCCCACAGACACGCTGCACAGGCAGCCCGGACCAGGCCTTTCAGGCTTCACACACAAGTGCTTCTAAAAACAGTCTTGTCTCTAAGCAAAGTTCACCTCCAGTGCTAAAAGACAAGCCTTTTCAAACTACAAAGCATATTTACCCTAAACTGAGGTTAGCCAAGTGCGGCACCAGATCAAACCTGCTGCCTGCTTTGTACAGCTGTGAGCTGAGAATGGCTTCTACATGATTTTTAATGACAGCAAAAAGGGCAAGAAATTCTTTTGTGTCGCATGACAGCTCTAGGAACCCCCATCTTTGGTGCGCACCTACAGGCCCGCAGGCCCCCATGTGCCAGTCGGTCACAACGCGAGGGCCATGCCAAGCAGCTGAGACAGAGACAGGGTATGCCCCCCAAAGCTGAAAACCCCATCCCCCTGGCCCTTTACAGACAAGCCTGGCAACCCTGCCCGCCACTACCTGCAAGCACGCCCACCTCAGGGGACCACTGAGCCGTCAGAACGACCCCTGGAACGGTCGGCCTTCCGCCTCGGGATTTTGTCTCAGACAGTACATAAGAAGGAGCATGGCCAGGGTGAGGCAACTTGCTGGACTCTGGGGTTCCTTGACCCGAGGGCCCCTACTGCAGCAGCCCTGAGCCCAGGTATCAGACCCGGCCCGGCTTGGTCCCAGGCTCCATTCACTGTGCAGCTGGCCCTTGACACCACCAGGGTAAGAGGCACTGACCCCTTGTACAGCTGGAAGGCACGGACAGCCTTTGACTCCCTGACACTTAACTACGAACAGCCTGTCGACCAATGGCCTAACCATGCCAGCCTGTGAGCAGACATTCTGTGTGCTAAGTGCAGCATCTACCGCGCTCTCCAACAGAGAAGGCGAGGGAAGACGTGGTATGCGGGGAAGCACTGGAAGAAGAGACGCGGCTGCTGTCCACCAAGCGAAAGTGGATGGTCATCGGGGCCTTCGTCCTCACCGTCTTCACCGACTGCGGCTGGGGAAGAGAGGGAACAGGAGGGGCTGGCCTTGCTGAGTCAGGGCAGCAGAGGCGGGAGAGATGGAGGAGGTAGAAAACGAGGCAGACATGCTCCACCTCATTGTATCAAAAGAAAGCCCATGTGTAAGTGGATCCTCACAGCTCAAACCCGCATTGTTCCAGGGTCAGCCGTGGTCTTCCTCCAAGGCACAAGTGTCAGTCTTTGGTGAGGGACAGAAAGAGCGGAGCGTTGTGAAGTGCATGCACTGACATCAGAACGCTGACAATGGGGCTGCTGACCCTGGGGTCCGGGTGCCATTTACGGATGAGAAAGTGGGGCCTGGGCAGGGGTGGGGGCGGTTTAGGGGCTGGGCTTCCATTGCACAGCAGGTGGGGGCAGAGTCCATGCAGGAAGCACCCGGGTCCCCGAGGCGCTCTCCTGGGCCACCACCATCCATACTGGAGCATGATTACCCTTTGCCTCCCTCCAGCCTGCGTCTTTGAGAGGGAATGGAGAGGGAAGGCAGGGACTCTGCGAGGGGACAGCTCAGGCGTGGGTCTCCACAGGTTCTTAGAAAATACAGCCTGTGGTTTTAAAACAGCACTCTAGTTTTTGATGAGCTAAAAAAGCCGTAGACTTTTTTAACAATGAATTTATCAGTAGCGAAAAAAAAGCAGGTCAATGAGGTGAATGTCTGGCCGGAAAGAACTCCATCTTTCTGCTGACACGAAATAAACCACCTGAGAGTTGCTGGTGCGCCGAGAAGGGGGGGCGTGGGACACAGCTGCCCCTTCCTGTCATCTTTACAGGCCCCGAGGTCCCGCAGGCACAGCACACTGTTCAGAACCCAGCCTGGCGACGACCCACTGAGGTTTCTGGACTCTGTGTCACAGGACGGGGCGAGCCCACTGGAGCACCCTCCATCTGGCCTGGGTGCAGGGGCAGGAGAGCAAGCAAGTTCCTGTCAGCCACAGAGACACGGGCTCAGACCTCGAGGCTGGGCACAAGGGTGCCCAGAAAGGTGGAGGCCCTGGAAAGAGAACCTTCTCAAGGAAGGAAGGGAGAGCAGACATTCCTGCCGATGTGCAAACCCAGTAGTAACTTTTCAGGGATGCCAGGAGCAGGATGGGCAAGGCGGCAGCTGCAAGGGGCTGGTGAGAGTGGTTCCACACTAGGCTCCACCACGCGCCCAGGCAGTCGCTCTGTCTCGGGTGGATCCTGCCCCAGACCCCGGGCCAGTGCCCACAGGAGGCGGCAGCCAGCAGCCGCAGTGCTGGGCTCTTATGTGAGTCCTGCACAAACCATTTCCCGCTCGTCACAGCACAGGCACGCTCCTGGCCCCGAGAAAGTGCAGGAAAGCATCCTCAGGGGCCGTCCCAGAGGCGCCCAGGGCGGCGAATAAAGCCAGCTGACGGCACCAGTGTTTCCCACCTCTTCCCACCAGCCGAGGCCCTGAAAACTCCTGACTGGCAGGAAGTGGTCTGTGCAGCGCAGGAACCTGACTGGTAACTCCCGAGCGCCCACCCACCTGCCCGCCTCTCCACGACAGCAAGGAGACCCTGGCGCACACCCAAGGTTCCCACCAACCAGGTGACTTCCAGGAAACCCAGGCCTGGGGCAGGCAAGAGAGGAGCACACAGCAGGCCCGCACCTGCTCTGTCCCCAGCTCCTGGGAGCCTATGCCACGCAAGCTGAGCTCTGCGGGGACCACAACAGGGGGCCTAGTGCGTGACACTTTCCATTTTTCTTCGGGCACCTGTCCACCCAGCTCTATACCACGTGTGAAAATGGAAAAGAAGCTCATGGCCACATGCAAAGCAGCACCGTCCAAGCACCTCCTCACCCACCACACACGTGGCGTGGCGTGGACTGATGAGACACAGAGGTGGACGGCGTCTGGGGAGGGCAGGTCTGTCAGGGACACAGGGGGCACAGACACGGTGGACGGTGCACTACGTTGGCGGCCCCACACTGTGTAACTGTGGAAGGCAAGGCTCAGCCAGGAGCTTTGTTGGGCCCCTTGTTTCAGGGTGTCACCAGGCAGGAAGGACAGAACGAGGACACTGACAGGCTGGGGTGGAGACTGGGATTCACCCCAGGGTGGAGCAGGGCAACGTGAGTGGGAGGGCGGCCACCCAGGGCAGGAATGGCCAGAGCATGGCAGGGTGAGCACCGTGGGCCCCAGGAGGGCCAGGCACTGGGGAGTGGCTCTGGATGGGGACAGCAGCAGCTGATCCGCTTAAATTAGGGAATAATGCCAAAGAGAAGAAAAGGTTCTGCAATTCTAGTACAAAATACCCACAAAGTTTCTCCAATCAGGTTTGAGCAGTGGCAGTACAGCAGGTGAGGTGGGGTTGGCCTGGAGCCCCTCAGGGCACAGCCCCTGGCTCCCGTCTAGGGGGCACGCAGCGGGGTGCAGGGTCACAGCCTGGTTCCAGCTTGAGTCCCCTCCCTGAGGGAGGCCCCAGAGCAGACGAGGTGTGGGTGGGAGCCGGTCAGCATGGGATGAAACACCTGGGGAGACACTGGCTGGGGGCCGAGAGGCTGAACAACGGTGACACCCAGCACCCAGCCCCACGGCTCTGGCCCCCTCGGTCCCATGACACCGGCCACTCACTGGCATTGCAGCCAAGAACACAATGCCTGGCAGGCAGCACAAGGCTGCACAAGGTCAAAGGGTCAGCAGCCTTGGCATCCCCCACACGCCTGGGCCCTAGGACCGTGTCACGTGCTGTGTGTCCAATACTAATTAATGAAAAAGAAAGTAAGCATGCATTCCTATAACTGGGTTTCCAGGCAAGTTCAAAACTCAGCAAAAAATCTGCCTGGGACCTCCATCCACAAGTGTCTAAGCCGCTGCAGAAACGTGCCCTGGCCAATGGCTCTGACTCTGCTTGGCAGTCACCCGCCTCGCACGGCCACTGCCGGCAGCACTGCCTCCTCCGCCGTGGAAGACCCTTGAGTCTCCAAGGGAGCAGGAGCAGGAAGGAGGCCCCACCGCGGGGAGCTGGGTTTCGAAGGCCGACGGCAAAGACACACACAGGC